ACAAAAAATTAGCTGGGCATGGTGGTGCATGCCTATAATCCCAGCTACTCAGGAGGCTGAGGCAGGAGAATTGCCTGAACCCAGGAGGCGGAGGTTGCAGTGAGCCAAGATCGTGCCATTGCACTCCAGCCTGGGTAACAAGAGCGAAACTCCGTCTCAAAAAACAAAAGAAATAGGGACTTCCTAAGTAAGACAGAACACTTGGAAACAAAGAAAAATGGTAGAGGTTTAACTTCATAAAAATTAAATACTTCTGCAAAGTTGGGGAAGAAGACATAAAGATATTTGATTTATTAACAACAAAAGGATTAAAGTGCAGAATTTAGAAAGAGCCTCACAAATTGATGAAATTACAAACAATTCAGTTAAAAAAATTGGCAAAGAATTTGATGGAGCAATTAGAGGAAGTGTAAGCAATCGATTTAGGATAAACTTGGAAGAATACATAAACATTTAAAATGCACATAACTGGCTGGCCATGGTGGCTCAAATGTGTAATCCCAACACTTTGGGAGGCCAAGGCGGGAAAATCCCCTGAGGTCAGGAGTTCGAGAGCAGCCTGGCCAATATGGTGAAACCACATCTCCACTAATAACACAAAAATTAGCCAGGCATTGTGGCGCATGCCTGTAATCCCAGCTACTCAGAAGTCTGACGCAGGAGAATCACTTAAACCCAGGAGGTGGACGCTGCAGTGAGCCGAGATCATGCCGCTGCACTCCAGCCTGGGTGACAGAGCAAGACTCCATCTCAAAAAAATAAAATAAAAAACAAAATGCAAATAGCTTACATAAAATGGTCTCAAAGGTCTAGGTTAAACATTTTTAATGCTCTATGTAGAACAGGGCATATAATATGCTATTATATTTATTTCTGAAAGAGAGAAAACAGAGGTACATTTTTGGTTTGTTATTGTTGTTGTTTGTTTGCTTTTTGAGATGGAGATTCACTCCTGTTGCCCAGGCTGGAGTGCAATGGTGTGGTCTCAGCTCCCTGCAACCTTTGCCTCCCAGGTTCAAGCACTTCTCCTGCCTCAGCCTCCCAAGTAGCTGGGATTACAGGCATCCGCCACCATACTTGGCTAATTTTTGTACTTTTAGTAGAGACAGGGTTTCACTATGTTGGTCAGGCCGGTCTTGAACTCCTGACCTGAGGTGATCCACCTGTCTTGGCCTCCCAAAGTGCTGGGATTCCAGGGATGAGCCACTGTGTCCAGCCCAGAAGCCACATTTTATTTGCTTGTAGGTGCATGGGCTATTTCAGAAAGAATGCACAAAAACTGGTAAAATTAGTTATATCCAAAAAAGAAAAAAGAGGGCTAGGAAGGAGGAGTGGGAGGGAGATGTTGCCTTTTATAACTTTTGAATGCTACACCTTTCCAATTCGCTACTTATTCTCAAACAAATAACCTTAAATAAATACAGTAAATAATTCAGTGTCTTTTCCTACACAATCTTCCAAACCTCAATAAACAAAGGGAACTCTGATTAAATAACCACTTAAAATGTATATTTCCTTTGACCCACAAGTCCCTCATCTAGGAACAATTTTTACCCAGAAATATTGTACATGTATACTCATAAAGGTACACAGAAAATCTAGATTAAGTTGGAAGCCAATCTAAGAGTCCATCAATAGGGGAATGTTTAATTAATTTATAGGGAACTGATACTATAAAATACTATGTTATTATTGAAAAGAATGAAGTACAATATATCTGTTATTGAATGACTTCTAAGTCATATTGTTAAATCAAAAAAGTAAACCACAGAGCATTGTTATATATGACCCCCATTTATGTTTTTGTTTGTTTGTTTGTTTAACAGACAGGGGTCTTACTATATTGTGGTCCATACTGGACTTGAACTCTTAGGCTCAAGTGGTCCTCCCACCTTGGCCCACCAAGTAACTGGGACTGCAGGTGTGTGCCACCGTGCCCAGCTTCATTTGTGTATTTTTTCAAGTATATTCAATACATTCAGCTTGGTCCTAAAGTCAGAAATGTAAATGATACTATTTTATCATGTGTTATATTATAATATCAATAAACTATATATTCACCTATGTTTCCAGATTTGGGAGCATATAGAGCACATTGAAAACGACCTAAAAAAATATACATTTACAGTGGTTATCTCAAAGGTGGGAAGAAGGAATAGAGGAGGTGGAGGGAAATTTATTTTCCTATATGTCACTGTGTTTTTGAAATATTTTATAGCTCTTATCTGTGAAAAATTACTATATTCCATGAATGCTTTACATTATTTACCTAAGGTCATAAGTTTATAAGGGGCAGGGCTGGGAGGTAGGCTGGCTAACTTCAGATTGTGCTCTTAACACAGTGTTCTCTCACCCATTGCTTGAGTATAAAACAAACACAAATCAAAATAAAATTGAAATATACCTCCTCATGTTTTACTCCTGGCCAACTGCAAATTCCTTCCTTTATGTTCCAGCACTCCCTGAATATTTGCCATGAATCTCGTCCTCTCCCCTGCTGAGCACATAAAATGTGCAAGGAGATAGATTAAAACTAGTCATGGCTGGGTGAGGTGGCTCAAGCCTATAATCTCAGCACTTTGGGAGGCTGGGGGTGGGGGGGGGTGGATCATGAGGTCAGGAGTTCGAAACCAGCCTTGACCAACATGGTGAAACCCAGTCTCTACTAAAAAATACAAAAAAATTAGCTGAAGGTGGAAGCTCACGCCTATAATTCCAGCTACTCAGGAGGCTAAGACAGAAGAATCGCTTGAACCCGGGAGGCGGAGGTTGTAGTGAGCCAAGATCATGCCATTGCACTCCAGCCTGGGCGACAGAGCGAGACTTAGTCTCAAAAAAAAGAAAAGAAAACTTGGCTGGGCACAGTGGCTCATGCCTGTAGTCCCAGCACTTTAGGAGGTTGAGGCAAGCAGATCACAAGGTCAAGAGACGGAGACCATCCTGGCCAACATGGTGAAATGCCGTCTCTACTAAAATTACAAAAAATAGCCAGGCGTGGTGGCGCACACCTATAGTCCCAGCTATTTGGGAGGCTGAGGCAGGAGACTCGCTTGAACCCGGGAGGTTGAGTGAGCCAAGATCACGCCATTGTACTCCAACCTGGTGACAGGGCAAGCAGAGCAAGACTCTGTCTCAAAAACAAACAAATAACAACAACCAAAAAAAAAAAAAACAACAAAATACTAGTTGTAAACCTTTTCTCTTGGTGTAGAAACAGAGCCATAGATGAGTACTGGTTGAATGAATTAAGTATGGAGTCATAAAGTCAATCCCTCCTCCAAACTCCAGGTAGCACTGATAGCTATGATGTTTTTTGTTCTTATAGAAAAAAACAGCAAGAAGACACCACTTCTCCCCTGCTATCATGCTTTACTGCATCTCAGAATGACACTCAGTTCTTCCCAAGGTCTCACACAGAAAATGCAAACGGGCAGTCTGCAGGCCACAAGCAGCCTGCACACATAATTTGGTTAAACTGCATGAACATTAAAAAAAAATGTTTTGAATCAGTTATCTTTAAAAATATATGAAGTATTTTTCCTTAAAAATTTACAGCTTCCCCCAAAACTCAGATCAGGCAATCATGTGCTGGAGCCCTGCCGCACCTGCAGCTGCCCCCTTAGTGGAGGCAGGTTTCACAGCACATAGCCCCACCCAGCCCTCCTGTCCACCGGCCTCCTGCACTCAGGCTTCCTGACTGGCCCTGGCTGGCAGTGGAGTTTACACCACAGAACTGTACCTACTCCTGCTGACATTTAGGTCAGTTCCAGTTCAGCCCATTTTGTCTTCCTCTGAACCCATGCAGTGAGCTCACAGCCCTCAGACCACACAGTGCTCCTTTACCTCTCAGAGGACTCCCAGTGCACCAGGCTGCAACACAAAGAAAACGGTTTGGATATTGTTGTGGCCTTGGATTTAATTCCAAAATGCCAAGCAGCCCTCTTAATGAGGGGTCTCTATTCTCGATGTCGTGGTGGAGCTACAGGGCAGGGAGAAGCCTTGAATTAAAGGACCCACCTGTGTGCCATCAGGAAACCACGTAAAAAGCACTACCGAGGCAAAAGATCTGAGTTCAATCTGGGCTGCTTAGTTGGGCAAGAGTACTTCATCTCTCCTGAGCCTCAGTTTCCTCACCTATCAACTGGGCTAGTAGAGCTTCACAAGGCTGTTGTGTGAATGAAAAAAGTGTATATGAAAGTGCTTGTAAGCACCTGAGAAGTATAAAATAAGACGAGTGTGGAGGAGGACCTGAAGAGAGGTGCTCCGGAAGAAATGACAGAAATGGGTGCCATGCACTCCAGTTACAGTTGAAAAGCCTCTGTCTCGGTGACCTGAGGCCCCTTCCATCTCTTCTTTCTGCCCTGAGGGCCTGAAAAATGCCTCTTTTCACTTGCTTTCAGTGGCCGCAGTGAAATAGATTATAAGGGAATTCCCTGCCTAATCCCCGAAGCAGTAGCTCTCCAGAACTCATCCGGAGGTCCAGGCCACTAGGGGAGAAGAGGCCAGGCTGAATCCACGCCTGGCTCCACGGAGGAGTCACAAGGATGGCCATCCTTCCCCAGCTTCTAGCACTGAGACAGGATCACCTGAGGTTATCAGTGTTTCCATTGGACAATCAAGGAACTGAGGTTCTTTCCCTCCAAAACCACACACCTCCTCGCTGCTTCACAGGGAGGAGGATTAAATGAGCTGCCCTCGAAAGCACTATGCAAAAGGGATGAAAGGTACAATAACGAGCAAAAATAGCCTCCAAGATGTGATCTAAAGCGATGTCAATGCGCAGCTATGTGGTTACTGGTGAGCAGACCTCCGGGAAGCACAGGAGACACCCCACTGATCCAACAGACGTTCTCATCCCATATGCCTTTGTGAAAAGGTTGCACAGGGGTTAAGCTTGGTCCAGAAGGGTCCGAGGGCTGGTCAAGTCCTCCCGTTTCCAAAAACCAGCCGAATCTCCCTCCCTCAGACCTGAGGGGCAGAGGCGCCCACTCCGCGGCGCCGAGCCACTTCTGGGCGCGCCACCCGCCTCCAGCCCCGGTTCCCGGAGACAGCGCCCTGAGCACCGGCTGGGAGAAGGTTGCTCACTGGTCCTCACGGATTCCAGCCGAGGGGCGTGACCGCTTCTCCCCACACCCTTTGCCGGGAGCAGGACGTGGAGCCTCTTGGTCTCAGGGGGCGCGGCCCGCTTCGGCCGAATCCCGGGCACGCACCGATGCCCTCCCATCTAGCGGACTGGGTAGGGGGCTTCGGGCGGCGCCAGAGAAACGGGGCAGGCTGCACCCAGCAGAATGGGGTGGGCCTCTAAGAAGCCCCAGGCCGCAGCAGAGGAGCGCGCCCCCAACATCTTCCCACAAAGAGCCCCAGCTCTCCAAATCAAGGCGCAGGGCAGCCGGAGAACAGCCCCGACCTGTCCTCGGAGACAGGAGCGGGGCGCGGAGAGAAGGGGAGCGCGGTGGGGGCGGGACCCTTCCCGGCCGGCTCCCCGCGCCCTCCAGCCCCGCACAGTGAGCTTAGCCCGGCTCCATCCCGACCGCCCTCTCAGCCCGGGCCCGCGCCCGCGCCCCACGCCGGGTGCTCACCGAGGAGCCGCCGCCGCGGCAGCTCAGGGCCCAGCCCGGCCGCCTCCCCGCCTCGGCCACCGCCGCCGCCGCTTCCTTCCTCCCGGCCGCGTTCGCGGACTGGAGGTTTCGGGTTTCAGCCCGCCGAGCCCCGCTTCGCTCCTCCCGCGGGCCAGCCACCAGCACGCGGACCCGGGCGGCGGCAGGCCAAGTAACTTTGCGGCGCCCGAGCCCCGCCTCCCCGGCGCCTGGCCGGGCCCCTCCGGCCCCCGGAGCCCCAACCCGCCTCCCGGCTCCCCGCACCGCCCCGCCCGGCTCTCGGCGCCCCTCCCCGCCCGCGCCCCTTCCTTCGCGTACGCCCGCCCTCCCGGCAGCTTCTTTCCCGTTTCTTCCCACGAATCCTCTCGGCTGCGGCTCTTTGTCTCGCCCTTACCCTCTCGGCTCGCCCTACTTTTCTCCTGAGAACATTTGTGGTCCCTAACTCAGGCCTTCCCGGTTCCCGTTCCTTCGTCCCAGTTCCAGCCGCTGGGACGTCCCCTTTTCCATGTCTCTCTCCATCACAGACACTTTCAGATTCTTCCCGCAGGCTCCGCGCAGTCCTGTTCTCCTCCTCCAGCCCCGCCGGGGACGATCCTGGCACCACCTTTGCCGCTCACCTTTCATTCATCCAGCCGACCCGCGAGAGCGTCTATCAGCCTCCGGCCAGGCTCCGTGCTGGGCTCTGCGAATACCACTGGGACCCCGCCCCAAAGCCAGCCCCGGGGAGTGGGGAGTGGACGTAAACCGGGCTCCACGCGGCTGCCCTGCACTCCCTGGGAACCAAAAGGCCAGGCAGCAGTCACCACAAAACAAAGACCGGGTGCTGTCAGCTCGGGGAACGGAACAGTTCCTTCTCGGAATGTTTGTTTTCCCTTCCTCACTCCCCACTTTCCCTGCCTGTCTCCAGCCTCCTACGTTTTCTATGCAGCGGTCTTAATAAGGGGATGGAAAGTTGAAGCAAACAGTAGAACTGCTTAAAAAGGAAAGAAGGAAGTAGACAAACAGGGCAGCAAAATAATCAGGTAAGAAGTTGTAAAACCCAGTTCACTAAACTCCAGAAAAAAAAATAATAAACACATGCTAGAGTAGGATTCACATTCCTCTGAAATCCATCTGCTCTGATAAATACATTAATTATTCCCTTGTCTACAGATTGAACCGTGGGAGATGCTTCCTTATTATTAATATTATTAGGCCACTGAGGCACCATTCAGAACAGTAATTTACTGTCTGGCACCTGCTAAACAGCCACATTGCTCTAGGGACAAATGGGATAATGGGGAGAAAAATGTTTAATGGATGCCTTAATATTCCTTTGGGATAGATGCTTTATTTGGTCAAAAACTGGAAGCTGACGCTCCACTTAGAGTCTAGGTCACTCAGCAAGCCAGACACTTGAAGGAGCTTAAAGCATTCTGTTCTTAAGAGTATTTTAGACACTTATTTTGAAATCCCTGGTTATTTATTTAATTTACACTCAGACGCCAGCTGAGCTCTATGAGCCTAAGGGAGTTAGTTAACCTTCCTGAGTCTCAGCTTATTCATATATAAAATGGGGATGGATGCTCATTGCTTCCTACCTGTAGAGTTGAAAAGGTTAAATGAGGTCATGTAAGTAAATCATCCAGTGTCATAGAACCTGAGAACTAAGCCCTTTTGAAAATTGGTATTCATGAAAGGTCTGAAAATATATGCCACAGACTGGCATGATGAGAATAAGAATAAAAACTAAACAGCTACGGCTGTTCTGGCCCCATAACCATCCATGAGGCAAAAGATGTCCTTCATACTGAGCAACATTTTCCCATACTTACTCTATTTCATTTTGAACTCTTCAATAGAAAACATTTTTTTCTGTTGCTGCTCATTATCAAATACATTATTTATCAAAAAGATTTTTTTTTTTTTCCTGGGCTCAAGCTCAGAACTTACTGTGCATTCAGGGATAGAAATTGCTGCCAATAAATGCATTTCAATTGCTCTCTTAAGATGTTTTTTTCCTTCTGGAGCTAATATCGAACTATGAGCAGAATTTAGTCAGATGCAGAGAAAACAGACAAATTGTTATTAATTATTTCACTGTATGTCATTGTATAGGTGACAATCATGAAAAATGTGACTGATTTTGTGAAAGAATGTATTTTTTTTAGAAAAATAAGAGAAAGATACACACTAATTCTTCTTTCCCAAATTAGTTTCATAAACCATTCTGTTTTAGAGACCCCCCACAAAGACTTATAAACTAAGATAATGAGAGGGCTTGTCCAACTGAATCTTACGTGTGTTGAATAATCTATATATGGAATATATTTTATGTAAAATATAATTTCAGTCTAGCAGTCCACATAAAACCAGTGAAAGCGAAATTGTGAAGTGTGCTATTTGTTCCACATGGAATGTTATTCCCCCACTCTTTATAGGCCAAGCTCTTCCTGCCCTTCACATCTCAGCTTAAATGTCACCTCCTCCAAGAAGTCTTCCCTGACCAATCTATTTTTAACTAAAGATGGGATCTTGCTATGTTGCCCAAGCTGGTCTTGAACTCCTGGGCTCACGTAATCCTCTGACCTTAGCCTCCAAAAGTGCTGGAATTACAGATGTGAGCCACTATACTCAGCCCCTGACCAAAATCTAAAAGAAATTATCTGGTCTCTGTTCTCTCTCATAGCTCAGTTCTTTTTCTATATAAAATATGTCTCAATTTATAAAATATGTGTCAGTTTTTCTATGTATCTGTTTACGGTATGCCTCCACTGATGGAACAGTAAAACCATTTGACCCCAGATGAAGACTTCCCTGAAACTGATGCACCACTGGACTGATCAGAAACAACAGCCAATCAATATTTTTTTCAATTAAGTCAGTATGGGTTTATTTTTCTGTTACTTGGAAAAAACAGCATCTAACTCGATGGTTTTTAATACGACACTTTGGAAATCTGTGGGGGCATTTGGGGTTTGTCACAATGATTAGAGGATAGTCCAGGCATGTAGTAGGTGGGGCCCAGGATACCACACATCTTGCAGTACATGAAATAGTCCTACACAAAAAGAACAGTTCCTCTCACACAAGACAATAAAAACGGTCTATACTTCTCTATGTCTGAAACCAAACTATTTTATATAAATGTGCAGAGGGGCTATTGTTTGTTTGTTTGTTTTGTTGTACAATAATCTGTCTAGGAATGCAAGTACCAAGTAAATTGAGGGAAGATTGCACTTTGAGTTACTCAAACCTCACCCACAGTTGTTCAGCATTTTGGAAATCACCTCACTATTAACAATGCCACTCGTGGTATCAGATTTACTAGTACAGATTAGGTAACTTGGTCTACATTTATGTATCTCTGTCACATTCACAGTGATCCTGTCTATAACTCCAACTTTTTGTCCACTTCATGATGTCATCCACTGGGGCTGACATATTGAAATGAGCATCATTGGGCTGGGCAATGGTACACTCCTATAATCCCAGCACTTTGGAAGGCTGAGGCGGGTGGATCACTTGAGGGCAGGAGTTTGAGACCAGCCCTGGCCAACATGGCGAAACCCCGTCTCTACTAAAAATATAAAAATTAGCTGGACTACACAATTGTAGTCCCAGCTACATGGGAGTCAGGCACGAGAATCGCATGAACCTGGGAGGTGGAGGCTGCAGTGAGCTGAGATCACACCCCTGCCTGGTCCTACACATCTCTTCCACTTGGCTTCTCTCGAATTGTATCCTTTGTAATAAACCAATAATAGTAAGTTAAGTGCTTTTCTGAGTTCTGTGGGCTGTTATAGCAAATTATTGGCCATGGGAACTCCTGATTTGAAGCCAAGCCGGTCAGAAGTACTGGAGGCCCCGGACTTCCATTTGGTGTCTGAAGTAGGGACAGTGTGTGGGACTGAGCCCTTAACCTGTGGAGTCTGCACTAACTCAGGGAGTTAGTGTCGGAATTGAATTGAATTGTTGTTGGATACCCAGTTGGTGTCACAGAATTGATTGGTGTTGGAAAAAATTTCACATATTTTGTGTCAGAGGAAAAAATATCCTCAAGTACACTTACCTTTTGTCTATAAAAAAAATCCTCAAATACGCATTTATCTTTTGTGGCCAAGAGAACACAACATTATATATTTGGGATAAATTTGTAATTACAGAAGATTAAAAACGCCCAAATGTCTGTCAATAGAGAATTAGGGGAATAAATTAGGATCCAGTGCTACAAATGAATGAAGAAAATCTCTATACACCAAAACGTAGTGGCCTCAAAGATGTAATGTTAAGTGAAAAAAAGCAAGGTGCAGAAGTATTTGTTATATATATATATATATATTTATATATATATATATATATATATATATATTTTTTTTTTTTTTTGAGACACGGTCTCACCTTATTGCCGAGACTGGAGTGCAGTGAAATGGCATGATCTTGGCTCACTGCCACCTCCGCCTCCCAGGCTCAAGCCATTCTCCTGCCTCAGCCACCCAAGTTGTTGGGATTACAGGTGCGCCCCACTACCGCCTGGCTAATTTTTGTATTTTTAGTAGAAACGGGATTTCACCATGTTGGCCAGGCTAGCCTTGAACTCCTGACCTCAAGTCAAACTCCTGACTCCACCCTCCTTGGCCTGCCAAAGTGCTGGGATTACAGGCATGAGCCATTGCACCCGGCCTGTGTTATCATTTATGTGAGAAAAGGAAAGAATATACAGGTATTTGCTTATACTTAAAAGTGGAAAAACAAACCAAAAACAATAAAAAGAAGGTTTCCAATCAGAGAAAGGAACAAACAGGGAGAAGGAATGAAAAATAAAGCAAGGTTTCTAGGAAGATTTCTTGCTGTACAATTTTGTCTTTGAAAGTAAGTGTATTTTACAAAATTGAGAAAAGTTAACTCACAAAAGGAAAAAAAAAAACTCCAAAACCTGAAGAAAAACT